GGGAGAGGGGCTCCCCCAAGGCAGGACAGGCCTGGGGCTCTTGAATTGCTGGGCTCGGAGAGGCTTGAGGGCTGCTGCAAGTGCCACAGGGGTAGGGGGGAGAGTAGAGGGGGTGGAGGGAGTCTTGTTTATTACCCTTCTCGGCATCCTGGACCCGTCTGGTTGGGTGTTCCCCACCCACCCCTACAAGCTTACAGATAGATGGTGCAAGCAGAGAGATTCAGCCCAAGGCCGTAGTTACCAGGTCGGGCCACTTGTGTAGAGACAGCCGGAGGCATGGCCTTCACCTCCTGGGCTGTGCACCTTGAATGGAATGGGTTCCTCAGGAGCATCTGTCAGTGCCACTGAATGATCCCACCCACTCGGGCTTTTTGGAGGGGTCAGGGTCAGAGGTTTACCTGTCAACTTCTCATTAGGGAGACAAGGTGGGTGCAGTCATATATTGCACCAACTTCTGTTGGTGAAAGAGACAAGCTGTTAAGCTTACACAGAGCTCTTCTTCCAGTCTGGGGAAGGTACACGGCATCACAGTGAAATACAAGGTGGAACAGATTGTTTTGCATAAGTAGTCAGCACATATTTTAAGGGCTCCTTCAAAGTGAAGTGGCTGGTTGACACCCCTTCGGTCATAGGGAGATAGGGGGGAAGCTGGAGAAGGGTTAGTGGGTTATAAAATGATGTAATAAGCCATAAATCCCATATCTCTATTCAGCCCATGATTTTAAGAGTCTAACAAAGTTATGAATTTAAGCTCCCAGGCTCATCTTTTGAAGGTGTTGTGCAGGTTTTCTTTGGGAATGAGGAGTAAGATTATATACAGAGTGATCGCTTTACCAAGAGCATTCATCCCTGGGTGATGTAAAAGACACCACCAACAACATTTTCCTGTGTGACTTCATTCGAATGCATAGTGATTGTCTGGTTTCACCCACATACAGTAGTTGTTATTGGGGCATTTAGTGCACTGGATGAGGTACACCACATGTTGTGACAGGCATGTGTAGGTCTTGAAAGGGGGGTCGTGAGGCATATTGATCAGTGGAGATATGTCTGTAGGTTTTGCATCAGTTGTACTGGCAAGGTCTGGTTCTGCTTTGAGTTGCTGGATCTTGGTCTATGGAGAGCTTGCTTCTGATGATGAGCTTGGAGAGGTTGGGGGTTGTTTGAAGGCTAGAAGAGAAGGTTCAGAAAAGATTTCTTTCAGGACGTGATCCCCATGACGTATGGGTTGTAACTGATGCCCTGTATGGAACAGCCTACATACTACTGCTCATTAGACACCAGAGCACCCTAATCAATCAGCAGAGTCCTACCACTACCCTATCACGTGCACATCCAGCATATCAACCCACCTTTGTTCTGCACTTTAGCTCAGCAGACTCAAGCCGCGGCCTACAAGCATATGCTCTGCCATCTCCCTACTACGCGAGAATAC